CTAAATCTTAGTAGCTTGTGCCTTTAATAGGTTCGATTTGATAAGACTCGTCTAAAATTCGTTAAGCGTATGATATAATATAGAAACACCACATCAGATTAAGAGCAGGATCTGTGTCAGAATAGTAGAGGTCGGATCGTCTCTTATCTGGCAGAACGTATTATAGTGTCATTGGATCATCCTTTCGTTTAAGGACCACTCCTGGTAAAGTGAATGCATTATCAAGTTCTCCTTAATTTCACATAACCTAGTAAACGCTAACGTACACGCCTATAAGAACGTTTTTAGGGCGGTGCAGAAGCGGTAGGAAAAGATGACATTGTCTGATCATAACTGGGAGGTGATGGTATATTTACACTAGCGTTATGTACAGGAAAACCAGGCTCAGGTCGGTATGGGCATTCTGGTAGACGGGTGATGGGCGGCAGTGCATTGTATTCCACTGCTGGAGCCGGAGCCAAGGCTGCAACCGTTTTTTCTCTGTTACATTTAACAAAGATGAAAGCAAGCACAATGAGAGCAGCGAGCGACCACAGAACAATATCGACAATGACACCTGCCGAGAGACCACCCTTATCGTCGTCATCTTCTGGATTGGTGGGGTTAGTTGGAATATTACCGCTTCCTGGGGCTCTTGTGCCTGCAGAATGAACAATAAAGTACATACATTATTTGATGCACACTTCAGGAAAAAGTGTCTTCGGATAAACAGTTTAAGACATACCTCGTGTGCCAGGTAGCAGGTATTGATATCTGCGCAGTATTTCTTGGAAAGAGGAGTATTGAACTTATCTCTAACGCACCAGTAGCAGCCCACGAGTCAGTCACATGACTCTGAATCAGGCTTCTTGTCACATTGTGGGTCGAAACATTTCCCTAAGTCATTTACTGAAGGATCATTTACTCGCTCAGAGAGAACAACAGTCGCTGGCACGGGAAAAATGGAAATACTGCAAGAAAATAAAGCTGTTAAGCTTACATATGAAACTCGGTGCTAGTAACTTTTCAAATCATGATAAGCTTACTTGCTGGCTGGAAATTCACTCCTACAGTAATGAAATTCAAGTCGTGAGGAAAAAGGGCATTCGCAAGTCAATCCCTTCACGTTGGAACATTCTTTGTTAGTGGAGCAGCTGCAAGTCTTAGATGAACACGAGCCCTCCCTTGATATGATTCCTGTTAATGTAAAAGAGAAAAGAAACATTCTCAGCGTAAATTAAATATATTTTTCATTGTAACATACCTGTCAGATTTTTCCCATCTCTCTTACCCAAAAAGGCATTACTTCCACAAACTTTCAAGAGCTGATACTTCTTGCAACGTTGTCCATTCTCAAGAGTACTCACTCCTTGAAATGGAAGCTTTAGCTCGTAAAAGCTCTGCAAGCCGATTTTCTCCAAATTTCGACATTCCTTCTTCACCAGATAACCTTTTTGTATGAGATCTTCGGAGATTTCTTTCTCTTTTTCTGTGATGTGGACATACTCCAGAGTTTTAGCTGTTATATCTGGCTGTAGGAAATCATTGTGCATGATTAGGAAACCAGCTCTGTCCAAAACAAAACAATCATAGCTGCTCTCCTCACACTTTGGGTACGTATCTGTTAGGAGTCTGAAACAAAAGTATTAAGTTAGTTATTAGACATTTTTTAACCTGGAAGGGAAGTCACTTTAGTACTTTAAGTATCTATGTTTGGAATAAGAATAGAATGATCTGTTTTGCACAGCGTAAAAAAGGACACAAAGATATCGTAGCTATGTAATAGAAGTGCGGTCCATAAATACGATATCCTTACTTTTGAAAGTATGATAGGGGGAAATCTGCGCCCATAACTCCAATAACCTGATCACTTGTACTATGCTGGCTGTTTGTCTCACCGCGGTAGATGGTGTGGGCTGCAGTTATCACCACTCCTGCACCGAAGACGTCTATATAGGGCGTGGAGAGGGCAACTGACCCCGTATTGCTAAGAGCGGTGTGGTACCTAAAAAATGACAAAATATGAAATGATAATGTGACATATCATATTGCAACTAAAGCTTAATCGCCCAATGGGATAGTTATGTGGGACTTTCGGTTGGATTATCATACATTTCTGTCTGTGAACGAATGATGTCTACACAAAGAATGGACGACAAAGCTTTGTTGGCTCCTAGGATACTTTTTAAAGTTAAAAAACCATGGAAGAATGTGAAACCTACTGCCATGTAAATTTTATAACCATATACTACTTACCATGGTCTTTTCCTCGGATCGTAAGATTTGGCCAGCAAAGTTCCGGGTGTCATTCTGAACACACCATTGGCTGTGCCAACATATCTCCAAACAAGATATTTGGTGTACTCCGATTTTTCTCGAAACCAGATATCCTCTACCTTCTTGGTAGCCATGATTGTATTACGTATGCCACTTTTAAATCCGGGGTTGATTGCTCTTGCACTTTTCATAAACCTTTCGTAAGCGTTCACCGTGGATACTGACTCATCCAGTCCAAGGTATTTGTACGGATCTGTGAAGGCTTCTGCACTAACCTTTACCACTGTTGAATCTGTGACAACAATAAGGGTTGTGATATTGCTCTATAATATGATGCAACAGTTAAGAGTCGCGATATCTTTTAAAAATCATTGAACATAAATAGCAATTACAACGACAACATTTCATGGGTGGGGAAGATACGAAAAGAAAAAGGGATTTGAGATGAATCATTTCCTCGACGTAGAGCCTCACAAGAG